CGACCGCGGGCGAGAGATGCGCCCCCCGGGCTACAGCAGCCGGCGTCCTGCCCGCACCGCTGCTATCTGGGCCGGCGCGTCTGGCCTCCGGGTTCTGGCGCCTTTGCACCTGCCCCTTAGGCGTTTGGTCCCCACGGCGGCCGGGCAGCCTCATCAATCCGGGGTCGCCCGGGAGGTTTGCAAGAGGACCGAGTCGGGGTTCAGTTGGAGGTGTGCGCGGGGCCCGGCGGGCTTGGGAGAAACCTCGGCTGAGCGTCAGCACCCCTCAAATCAGCAGAGCGCTGGGCGGGTCCCCTGCCCAGCTGGTGGAATAAAGAGGACCGTGATCACGTGCATGGGTAACAGCTGGGATGAATCGCTGTAGCGCCCCCCTACCCCCGCCCCGGGTCTGCCAACATTTTTGTGCATCTCAGTCACCTGGAGAGCTTGTTAGAATACGGACTGCTGGGGCCACCCCAGAGTTTCTGATTCAGTGGGTCTGGGGTGAGGCCCAAGGGTGCGCATTTCTAAGTTACAAGGTGAAGTTCCTGATGCTGGCTGACACTGCCCTCCCTGATGTCACCGCTCGCCTGGCTCCATCTCCTACTATTTCCTTCTCTCTGGCGTCAGCCCCACACACTCTCCAGCTTCAAGGCTTTTGTGCTTACTGTTCCCTTGGTGTCCACCTGCCACCCTCCCTAACGCCTTCACGTCTAGATTTCAAATTCACATTCTTAGAGATTCCTTCCTTGGCTAGCCCGTTCTAATACTGCAGCTCCATCCTCCCCACTCGGTGGCTCCCTGTTTCCTGCTGGTCTGCTTTATCTTCCTTCTTAGAACTTAACAAATCCAACATTGTGTATCTGGAGTGTCTCTATCTGTCCATCCATCCATCTAGCTATGTATCTGTCTATAGACATAGATGATAATTTGCTTGTTTATTTCCTGCTTTCCCTTTCGCTTATATTCAATAATTCCCCATGAAAGTGGGATTTTTAAAGAAACAAATCTCTTTACTTCACTGAAGCATCCATCCCCAGCGACCTGGCCGAGTGCTTGGCACATAGTAGGCCCTTGGTAGACAGGGCTTGTACAACTAATAGAATTATCCTACTGCTTTCATTAAGGGTTCGTTTACCCCTCCTGCAGCTATACTCCTGTTCACAGTGGGCCAGGCACCGTACTCGCCCCTGGAGGTACAAGGGTGATCCACAATATTTGGTGCCTGCTCTAACAGAACTGGGCTAGTGGCTAGCGATGCAGTCAACACTAAATAAGCAGATCAGCAGTGTAATTTCTTAGTCGTGATATGATCTCAGAAGACATAACACCAGGATGTGATAGTGGCTTCGGGAATAGTCAAGGAAGCCTGTCTGAGCAGGTAATATTTGAATGAGGTGACAGGGCGGGGGGCCCGGCGAACTGGCAGGAGCAAGAGCCCTGAGACAGGAATGAGC